ACTGCAGGGGTCTTGAGAGCCACGGATTCACCGATACGTACTACATATACTGCTCCTGCTCCCGCCTCCCCACATCGTACTCTGTGTTCAGGCAGAAACGATAAGCCCAGGTTCGAGTATGCGAAACACGACCCTGACCACCTTGGCGAGTTGCTCGTGGACCTTGATCCAGCTGAAGAGGACAACTTTCCCATCCTGGGCAGGATGGGCTCAGGAAAGTCGATGTTTATCAAAGCCTTTCACGATTGCGTAAAATTTGGGACGCTGGACGATGCCATGTGGCGGACAACGGGCTATGTAAATATATGAACGCCATCCTCTACATACTATGGTCCGTCGACGAACTAAGCACCGTCCTGTTCCTTCTCCCACCCCACGAGACACGGCGACGTGTCATTTGAGTTTTGGCTGACCTCACTGATCTCTCATCTGCGCCGTGATATTGTCCAAAACGTGCTTCCCGTCTTCAACCGAGCCCACCGAACGAACTACGCGCCAGTGCCAAGCGTACACGACTCGATCAAGTCCTTAGAGGGCCCAACGCAAGCCTCGTCCGCAACAACTCGACCTATCTCTTCTTCGACCTAGAGGGCTACATATACTTAGCCGCATACAAGCGGAAGCAATTCCGGGAGTGGGCCAATAGGGACGGATACGCCCACATGCTTGAGGCCCACCGCCTTACTCACGATGGCTATGAGCTTCCCGCGCACCAAGCGAGGAAGACTCTAAGCCTCAACTGAACCTGCCGCGTCCTCGAAGGTATGTCGAAAGCGCAGTGCGGCCAGGTCGCCGTCTGCCAAGGCTGGCCGACCTCGACGCAAAGGGCGCCGATCTCGTCGGGAAGCTGAGACTCATCCCGCTCGTCCCCACACGGTGCAACTCGACCAAGCGGACCGTAGATGGTCGGCGTCCGGTCCATCGTCTATTGTGCCTTGACCATCGTGCTCATACAATCGACTAGTCATATTCGCCATATAGTTTGCAATCTCGTCCCCAATTTGCGCCCTCAGGTTCTTGAACTGCTTAACATCGCCATACTCCATGGTAGTATCACTAGCCTGCCGGAGAAGACAGCCACAGAAATCGAACGGGTGGGCAGAGTCTTCCAGCGCTTCGTACATTTTCGGCAAATGGTCCAGGGGTGCAGATCCAGTTATTTGGTGCTCCAGATACTCAGCGTAGACAGGCGGAACTCCTGTGAACTCGACCTTGCGAACACGGCGCAGCATACCGAAATTTTTAAGGACACTGCAAAACGGTCGGGCATCTATCGAGCCCCTCCCGTCGAGTCTAATGTGCAGGTAATTCAGCCGCGGAATGTCGGACAGGACTTCACAGACCTTGCGAACGGCTGGTCGAACGGTCCAGACATGGTCCTCGTCTTGTATCTCAACCGTGATGTCGAATCTTCTCAAATCTGTAATCCGATGGTGAATCCGGTAAAAGGGGCCTTCCCCGAAATGATCCGTCCCCAGGAAATAGGCACGCTCTCCGCCGGCTTTGTCGAATATCTGTAGGTGGCAGGTATTCTCCCCATAAAGAATCGGGCGAGCTTCGGACAGGATTTGACGACATGTGCGAAGAATCGCAGGGTGCAAACTAAGACTTGAGCAGCTGGTGATTATAGCATCCTGCCAGAGCAGGAGTCGATAAATACCGAGCCGAATTTCTAGTGGAAGGTTGAGGAATGATCCTCTCGTTTGGCCGGTTTCATCGCGGTGCATTGTACCTAACGGTAGGTGCGAGTCTCCTTCTGGTTTCTGTCGCAGGGAGTAGTCCTGTCTAACGAAAAGAACGGATTGCTTTTTGAAGTCGGAAGCTGATAACAGCGTCCGCGAAGAACATTGGTAGGTGATGAGTGGCTGTTTGAGCATGGAAGAAACACAAGTTGTTGTACTTGGTGTTGGGCTGCAATAATTATATTAGCCCTCCAGTGCGCATCGAGATTAGGTATTGTTGAATGCTAGACAGTTCCATTCCAAGAGAGAAAGAAAAGGTTCAAAAAGGAGAGGAAATATGGAAGTGATTATTGATGTCATCAGAAAGGAAACCCGGAACAGAATTGGCTGTTTTAAAGAGGAGCGAGGTATGTCGAACATTCCCGGAAGTCGAAAGACCTGGCCCTCACACCGAGACCAGCCAGCAAAAGGCCATTTCTTAGCAAAAGCCACTAATTCCTGTCTTTACAATAATCTTCTGTTGTATTCTTGGTTTAGTTCTTTCGGATGCTTTCGGTTCCTCTATTTGATCGGGGGGTGTTGGCTGCCAGCCGAGCCGCCAACAGATATTCAGATATTACCCGATGTTCCCATATTAGTCCATTCATATACAAGTGTGGCGATGTTTGTGGCGATGTCCTGCGATGTCTTGTGGGATGCCTAATGCCCAGCAGCACGGCATTGTGTGACGGAGGCCTTCGATCGTGAGATGACTCAATCCCTCTTCCTTCCAACTCCTGACTGTAAATGCCACAAATACAACCACCGATGGCCGAGGATTAGCTTGCTTCTTGATATGAGCACATTCGAATTGTTCGTCTGTCTACACAAGTTATCACAGCCCATCTCTCAAAAGTCTTGATCTTTCAACCCGGGCAGCATGGAGCTCAAGCGTCCGCCACCACCGGCTTTGGCTCCAGGCCACTTAAAGCCCCGCCTAACTTTGATGGATCTTCCAATCGATATTTTGAGGTTAGTAATTCGAGAGCTGGTTGAATTCGAACCGACGAGAATCGATAATCTGGCAAGAATTCTCCGACTTCGTCGGATCAATGGTATGCTGGCTACTCCTGTACAATAACACACCTCCACCACCTGTGTTTCCTGAACCTAAAACCTGACATTCATGACCTTAGGTGTATTTGCTGCCGAAATAATGTATGCTATAGTTTCCACACGACTCCTCGTCAAGATGGAGGGTAGTATGGAGCTTGATACATACTTTAAAACTCCTTCAAAAACGAGCAACATGTTATTCCCGCCCCATGATGTCAGCTATTTCCTCGCCAGTTATCTCATGGCATTACCGCATCGCCACCTACCACGGAATACCAATCTTTCGACGTTGATAAATTCTCTGGTGGATGCAATCATGACAGAGGACGGTCTAAACCTCGACGGCCCTGAGAGATATCAATACATCCTCAAACTATGCCAGCGCGGCTTGAATACAGCCCATAAGAGGGGAGAGTGCGGCTTTGCCGACATTCTGCGATCGGATATCATGGAGATGCTCTTCCCTTCCAAAACGATATTCAAAGATAAGCATTTCGATGTGCTTGTCCTCTTCGCCCGCATTTACCTTGACTCGCCTAAGATAGAGGTTAAACTCTTGTTCATGGTGCTCGAACTCGGCTATAAAAAATTCACGAAACTACAGAAAAGGGATACAACGAAGGTCCCATTCAGGGGCACTATCCCTCTATTTGGAAGCTTCCTCGAAGCAGCAATCCGGGCAGACAATCAAGACTTGGTTGCACTCTTTCTTAAACATGATATTGGCTCGATAGTCAAGAATGTCGATCAAGGCAGGAAAACAGTGCAGAGGCGTACCGGTGACTACCACTGGAGTTACCTTCACCTGGCGATTCTGGTTGCAAGCACCTCTACAGTCGAACGTCTTTTAGAGAGAACCAGTCTATACAAGTCGAGAAAGGGACAGCTGCTACGAGTCGCTGGCTCTTTGGACCGCCATGACGTGGTTGAGGCACTGATTAAGAGTTAGTATCCGCTTAAGCGTCCGGAGCAGTGCGAATATTCGGAGCTGCGGGACTATCATGAAGAGGCTTTCAACGCCCTCTTCCCCGTACTCGAGGATGCCTGTGAGCGGGGCAATTGCGCAATAGTGAGACTACTACTACAGTATCCCTACGTGAAGGCCGAGACCTCTTTTTGTCCGCTAGAGGAAGACGACAAGAAACATTCGACGACCCCCCACGTCATGCAGTGGAAATTTGGCAAGACCAGGGCTCCCATTACGATCGCTGTGCGCAACGGCCATGTCGACGTCGTACGGCTTTTGATCCAGGCAGGAGCGCGTCCCTGCGGAAGACACGCCCGTATTGATGGATACGGTTTCCAAGGGTCCTTTCCTAACTATGAAGAAGATCATACTATGCCTTCTTTGGACGCTGCGGCATCTAGAGCTGATCTAGCTTCTCTGCGTATACTTTTTGAAGAAGGAAACCTATCTGCTGATCATCGGGAAACATGGGCTTCTGCGCTTTGCGCTGTCAACTTTGCGCGGAAAAGCATCTCGCCAAACTGCCCATCCCGAGATGCTAGAGATATACAATTTTGGAAATATCTCGTTGACGGAAAGCATATCAACCTTCAGCGTGCTTTGGAGCAGACCGAGAGACTGGAACACAGACACTCGTACACTGGCTTTTTGCTTAAGCTACTAAAAGAAGAAGAGAGTACTGGTGCCTGTGATATCGAGGCATAAAAGGACAAGAGCCAGCAGAACACCCGATGAATGAGGTGCGTATACCAGAGTTTCCAGGAACCGGATTCGAACTGCATTCGGGCATCGGACGAGTTGCGTCTTGCGGCATCTCCAGTCATTCATTCCATAAGATGTAACGTATTAGAGGTACTTAATACAATGTTTGCAACTCTCTCTCTAATTGCTATGGCCTTCTCCTTTTATATCCCCTCTAGTAAGTTCTGGCTGGGTGAAGATTGGAACTATATAAAATATTCTTCTCTAAAATATTAAACCTAGGAGACTTAGAGCGTTCTAACATCGAAAGGCTTTGCAAGCTCTCTGCTACCTCATTCAGACCACGAGGAGCCAATACTAGTCCGAGTAGGTGCATAAGGGGGTGTGGTGTATTGGGCTTGGGCAACTGGTTCGGGCTGGTTGGGTTTCTGACTTGGGCGGAAGCTTAGACCTGCTGGACACCACACCGAGAAGAGCAGTCCTCACGCGCTGCAGGACCCTCTGATGGGCTGCCACCCGCTCGGCTTCCTCGCCTACATCTTCCGTTCTGCCGGCTAGTGTGCAAATCTGAAATCGAGCCTCTTGTTCCCCTGGTCAGTGGTCGTCTCAAGGTAGTGACGTTTCTGCTCGGGAGACATAGCATTCCACTTCCTCTCGCGCGTCTTGTTTCGCCAAACGTAGTAGGCCTTGGTGAGGATGTAAATTGCAATATTCCCAGAGACGATACCCACTAGGTTACCGTTACCCCTCTTATAGCGAGGCGCATCATCGGCGCGGTATATATTGGACGCGATGATGCCGCCTGCCTGGCACATCATGTTGTATGCGGCTGCAGAGACGGTACGGGATCGGACAGTGTTGGAGTTGCGTGAGTTCCAGCCAACCTGGATTGGGTGAGCTAAGAAAAGGGGGAGCGGGCGCGTTAGCTAGTCAGGAGCAGGATGTAAGGCGGAGTAGAATGGGTCTGTCTTACGAGAAGGAAATGCGAGAAGAGCTGTCAAAACACCCCAGGCTACCCAGCGATCGATCTTTGTAATGTCATTCACGTATAGATAGACCAGGAAGGGGAGCAGCCACACTTGAGCCAGCATGGACATGAAAGTAAGCTCCCCGACGATTTCGGCCACATACGTTACCACCATCATCGTGCCCATGTGTAGAACCACGGTAGGGATGGTGAGCAAGTTTGTCCTGAAAGTGTCGAATCCAATCCCTCGGAGGATGAGAGTGAGGTACTGGCTTGGCGGCGTGGAGGGAACGTTCCACAACAATCCAATGACGTAAAGCGGCCACAGATCGAAGTCCTTCAAGCTCCTCCAGAGCAGTCTGGGTGTGATGGGTTGTCGGTTATGCATGTCGCCCTTGCTTGGATCGTCACGGATGACGCGGTTGATCATGATAATCTCCTCTCTGATTGTATTGGTGTGTCGGTTAGCATATTATATCTATATTTAGGACTAATAGGTGCCAAGAAAAGAAGAATTACCTCTCGGTAAACCACCCCTTTTTTCCTCTAAACCAGTGGGAGGTTTGAGTTGGAGAAGGGGGCATAAGCCCGAAAGCAAGAATACCGATGACAAAGGTCAACAGTCCCTATGTATCCAAGTTAGACTTGCGAACACCTGATAAGGCAACTTTCAGAACTATTGATACGGCCGGCCACACAAACCTCGAGAAGAAATAGCCATCTCCAGCCCGCACGCCCTCCAACACCGCGGAGATGAAGAATTCCAGCGGCGAGCAGGCCGGCAATGATATCCGCAATAGACATGGCCGTCCAAAAGAAGCCGAGTCTCAACGACAATTCATGGTGTTTATAGAAATAGGAAAGGTATAAGATAATCTGCGGCGGCCCACAATCGAGTTAGCAACCCCTTATCTGACAGAAATTGCACAAGGCCGTGGAGGCGTTCTGCTCTATTCTCGCAAACTCACATCTGGAATGAAGCCGCCCTGGAGGATGGCCAAGAGAGCTCGGCAAACGAGGAATGAAGTCCTTCCAGAGAGCCAAAACTGACTGAAGGAGACGACGCTCCACAGCGTTATTTGTGCTGGAATCCAGCGATCTGGGCCCATCCACTTCGAAACGAGCTGGGACGGGAGCTCAGCACAGAGGAAGGACAGCTTGAACACAGTGTTACCCAGGTTGAAATCTAGTGACAAGTGTCAGTTGAGGCACTGCAGATACTATTGGATAGGCCGGTCGATGGCACAGGTCCGCCGGGATGTGCGATGGGACATTCATCAACTCACCATTGGTAGTTAGATGAAGGTCTTTAAGGAAATTATCGGTCACAGCCTGCGAAATGTTCGCACGGTCAAGTTCAAGCGCCTTCCAAAGATTTTAGTATAGACGTTGGTAGCATAGTTTCACTCTTGACACTGGAAAGTGGAATTCTTACCATGAACATGACGCAAGCAAATATCATGATCCGGACGTCAATCTTCCGGATGAGCTTGTTTTCTTCGTTCCAAGTCCACCTCGCTAAAGGATCGAAGCGATGAAGATTTTCCCAGTCGGCTCTGGGTTGATAGTGCTTGGCCGTCTCCGGGTCATCGTAAACCGACGGCTGCGTAGCAATGGCGGAACCATCATAGTTGCGAGTTCTCTGCCACCAGAATCTTTTCTCGTCACTGGGGACGCCGAGAGGAGGAACGTCAGGATCGACAGTGAAGTCCACATCGCCTTTGGTCTCCGTGACTCTCTTGTCTTCGTCGTCAGATGACGGGGAGAAAAAGACTCCGGCAGACTGGGTCCTGGTCCCTGGAGGGGCGGGTTTCTTCGCAGTGTACACAGTAGACATTACGGAGGAGCCGAAGGTAAGGAAGTGTATATTGGATGAGGTATAAATTAAATGTGGGCGACGGATGCAGCCTCGGAACTGTTAAACCTCGTGTTTTAGAGTAAGGCCATCAGCGAGCGCCGCTTGATTAAAATATCCCTTTGGCTTCCCAAGGTATTGCCTGCACGTCATCTGTATCTCTACTGACGGATCCCTCTCTATCTCCAAAACTGCTCTGGATCTCCCCTGGGTAGGATCTCGCTTGTGTGCTCCTACCTATTCTCAATTTTCTGGAAAAAGCACGCCATGATCAATAGTTTGTCGCATGGTGCCCAGGTGGCCGAGTAAACGAAAATGCATATCTCGACATGTAACTCAAGAAAGGCCACCTCAGGATTGGAGGCTCGTGGGGGCAAGGGTAGAGAGTAACTCTACGGTCCGTCCGCTAGAGGGGAATGACTTCACCCGAGGCGCTCGGACGGAGCTCCTCGTAGGTTTGGACCAAGCTGACAGGACGACAGTGCTCCACTTCTACACGGGGTTCGTCACATAATTACAAGGGTCGGGATCTTACATCCAGACCGTCTTGTGCACAAGGTGCAGTGGCATCAATGCCGATATGGATATAACATCATCGTGTGCCAAGACAGCGACGCTCGAAACTGGGAAGCAAGCAGGCCAATAAAACGTCCATGAATGGTCAGGTAAACCCCCACATTACCTGCAAATCCCCGTTGAGTAGATGACGGCAACCAACACTATACTTACGTAGTCGAACCGGGCGTAACCTGCACAGGTAGTCAATCTTGAGCTAATCCCGATTCCGTGGATCTGGACAGTGACGAGCGATTTGTCACAGGTTTCGGGCTCGGGGCGGGGGCTGGGGGACACAAGTAAGATCTCAACGCTGCATGCGGCTGAACAATCTCAAGACAAATCAACGGACTTGGGCGGAATTATGGAATGGCAATCCTTGATGAACGGGGAAAAAAGGAGGAAAGAAAACCCCAAAAGATAAGGCCTCACAATACCGGGCGGCTTTCCTGATATGCCAGCTTGCGGGGGGATGCCACCTTCAATGCAGATAACGCAAGATGATGCAATATCAATCCTCCTCTACCAACGCGTAGCACAATACACCGCGAGTTCCAACCCGTTCCTAGATGGCCGAGAATTGAGAATTGAATTACTAATGCTCAATAGCACATGAATGAGGGGTTTCTAACGTTTCCTTTCTAATGGACCCGGTATCAGTGACGGGATTCGGCATCTAATGCAGCCGGGGCACGATGAGGAGGGTTCGACGCCTCGCCAATGGGAGAGACTTGGAAGGTGTCTACTAACTTATAGGTTAATGAGATTTGACGAGACACCACAAAGAATCGAGAACATGGCGAACAGAGCGCAACCAAAATCGACAGCTTTCTTCTAATACTTCTTGGCGAAAATGAATCTCATTTTATAGCTGATGTGTGTCATTGGTCGGGCGTGCGATACCTGTATAGAGACTATCAACTACTTTTACATAATACGCAAGCTAGGCCCGATTTTCATCGTTGATATACAGAATCATGACACTTCACTGACATTTGGTAGGATCCCAAGAGTAACCCGGACACCGAGTCGAATATCACGTCGCGAATCTACTGACACACATTGATCTTGCACAATCTAGGTCGACGTTGCTGAAACTCCAGATAACTCTCTGCGGACGAACTGTTAACACAGGAAGCTAGAAGAGTGTAGGTCGCGCTTATTGAGGGTGGTCCGCTGGGTTCTCGAGGCTGGTGTCTCCAGGAGCAGCAACCCGCGGTGGTCATTGTTCACTTGCTCGATCCTGGGATGATTGTGTGGGAGTGCTGCCACATCGCCGCCGCGCTGGGAGGATCCATAGTGTTCGGTATACGCGGATACTCGTCTCGCAATTCCAAGCTGATAACCAAAGGCGAACTATTAGCATTGATTACGGCGATAAGCTAGAACGGATGCATTTATGGAGAGTTTTGTCTAGGTGTCTCTTAGCTACACTTCCTAGTCCTTATTCCTTAACCTTTGAAACTAACCAGCCGATTGCCGCTCGCAGCATAGTTTATTAGATAAGGGAAGTGACCAAATCCGAGTATTTCTATGGAATATGGGACAGAGGTCAGAATCGCAGTATACTTTGAGAGTGGCATGCTTCAATGGGCAACCGCCGGAAAAGGGGCTCCAGCGGTAAATAGGGAGCAAGCGCCAACATTGCCATGCCTTTCAGTTTCCAGACCAACCAAACACATGGCCGGCAACAACTATAACCGGAATCCCTAATTCATGGACGATACGAGAAACAGGCGGCCGGTCATCGACCATTTTCACAAATCAGGGTTGAGCTTGGCGGTCTTATCTGATGATCAGATGATGCGAATGCTCCGTGGGCCGATCGATGCTCTTCGCCCGGATGGACTGCGAGAGCTAAGTAGTTGCTTGAGATGGAATGCGGACACACGGGAGGAGGGCGATATATAACCCACGATGCTTCAAGCAATATGGTCTAGTGGCTTGTTACTGGAGAGGGGAGAGAAGAAGAAAAGGGGGGCAGAGGAGGAGAATCCGGTTACCTCTGTCCAATATTCGTGACTGATTCCAAGTGTCAGAGACTAGAGACTGTGAGTGATCGTCGAAGAGCGGAAGGAGAGGACAGTTGGCAGCTCCGAAACCATTTCAATGCCTGAGTCGATGTCTTTTTTTTTTTTTTTTTTTTTTTTTTTTTTTTTTGAGCTGGATGCAATTGAAGCGGCAGATACCAAGATTGCGTGTTCTTTGATGTAACGCGACTTGCAAATAAGCACACAAGTGGACTATGCGGGTAAGTTAGCGGGTAAGTATCGTGCTGGCCTATCATCTATCAACGTAGCGGCTTGGAGGATTCCGCCTTCGCTTACAATATAGATATAGTGGCTGGTCTCAGACCTACCGCTTTAAGAGCCATCCTCAACTCCATCCTTATTATAGTCCGACCGACAGGGGGAAAGTGAATGGTCAACTGTAGCCTCGGTAAGATATTAAGTCACAGGTTCCATAGACCGCGGGTGCGGGTGAGCGTTTTTATCTTCAGGAAAGAAGCGAACGACAAAAGAAGGAGTGGGCCAATAGCTACGACAACTCAGAGCGAGACTGTATGACGCGAGGACTGCGGAGATCTGAAGGGAAGATCACATACCCGCTATCACCTGTTCGCGTTTCAATATCATATCCATGCGAATGCCAGTGGGGCGCCGACGAAGCCCAAGATGACCACGGTTGTGGTCATGAGTGTTTACCGTTGTATTTGCCATCCCGCTGTTTCGAGGGCTCGATCCTATGCCCCCGCCGTGAGCGCTCTACAATTCTCGAAAGCTGAGGCGGTGGGTTCCAGGGAGGGGAAATCAGTATGGAAAGATACGCTACACTTCGAACTCTGGCATTCTAGCCCTATCTAGCCGGCTTTATTGATGAGTGAGAGCAGTGAGTATATACTATGTATGGTAATACGCGCGTCCACATCGGAGCCCGGAGGTATGGTCTTCACGGTTGGATAACAGGGTCCCCGGAGCATTAAAGCCAGGTCATGATAACAGCAACAGTTGTGTCCCCCGCGCGCCTCACAGCGCTCCTGTCGCTCTTTGTAGTCGGTCAGAAGCCCTTACGCTCTCTTGAGCTCCTCGGGTCGCTTCAAAGGGTCACCACTTGCGCTGTAGCTTTTCCAGCGTCCGAGGTACTTGTCGATGTCACCCTTCTTGCTTTTCTAACCGACGATGCGCTCTAAGTCGTAACGTTCTCCGTCAACGCTGATGCCTCCTGACGGAATGCCATCTTTTTTCGGCGTTGTCGTACTTAAGTGGGGCTAGGAGGTGGCTGAAGGCATCGAAAGGGATGGTCAGCGCACTCGCACGGTCTTCGGTGTTGCACGCGGACCACAACGTGTATCTTAGAGTCCGCGGGCACCCAGCTCGTACGATAGCGGTTACTATACATTATACATTACGGATGCATATATTGACTACTGGGGCCCTTCCATCCGCGTTCCAAACACGGCGGGAAGTCCTGCCTTTATATCCCGGAGTACCTCGGTTGGCCTGGGTTTGGCCTTAGTTTCATGTCGAACCTTGCTTGGAACCAGCAAGGTTGAACGAGGTTACTTATGACTGGTCCGGTGGATTCGACGGTGGAACTGGGAGATACAGTTGATTTTTACGTCTCTACATCAAGGCGATGCCGTCGCCCCAAGTGACGTAAGAGGCAGGCCTTTTCCTGCACTCTATCAATAGGACGGCGGCTTCGTTGAGTGACTCCTATCGGGACTCCTATCCTCCCGAACAACCTGAACTTCATTCATAACCACAATACCTTTTGGGGGACGGGTGTCGGACCTGGGTGTTTCGGAAAACACCTTCATGCTGTACATGTTGCCCTCTTCTACCATCCGTTCCTCGCTCTCGCTGAACGTCATGTTCGCCGTGATTGGGTTTGTACTGCGGGGTCCTCGACGAGACCGGGAATCGCCACCGGTGCCTCCGATGGTTTGGAAGGGGGAATGGAGCGGATAATTTTTCGGCGTCGAGCGCGTCGTACTTCCGAATATGGGGTTGAACCAGGATCGAAGGAGCGGGAAGATCATCGGCAGATTGGTCGTGATCACTGCGACGAAGGCCTCTTTAGTACCCCAGGAACCGGCAAGCTGTGCGCCGTTGATAGGGTCCTAGTGGGAGGATAGAATCGGTTAGGTTCATAACATGGTACTGCTGGAGTTACGGAAACGCCTTGACTCACCACCAGGACGAAGACGCTCTTAAGAGTAGCGCAGACGAGGACGAAGATTCCAGCACCGAGCACGATGGTCGACGCAATCTTCTTGAGGGGTTTTAGGGTCGATTGCCAGAGCATGGGAAGTGGAATCAGGATAAGATAGATATCAGTCAAGACATTAGAAGCGAAGGAAACCCAGATGATGGGTCTAGAGATGGCAGCCTGGCAGACATCTGGAAATCCACGAAAGAGATTGGTTAGGGATGTGAGTTAATAAACAAGCCAATTTAGTTCATGAGGACCTTACTGCCTGGGTCTGGGTTGATCTGCCAGTATTTGTTGAACGGTCGGCACGCAATGAAAACCGTTAAAATGGATGCAAGAAAAGTTCCGATGACGAGAGCGAATCCAACGGTGATACGAATTTTAAAACGCCGGCCAAGACCTTGCTGTAAGACATGTTAGATACCATCTGAGAGTGGCGAGGGAGTCGGCGCGCAGGCAAGAATCGGTCATACCGTCAGTCGGATATAAAACACCAACATGGCCATCTTGAGTGACCAAAGTAGCGCCGAATAAGTGGTCCATCCAGCGACTTGGATCTTCGACCCGAGGACCCTATGATATAAATCCCGAGTTGGTATTGTGTATCTCCGACGTTGGACAGTTAAATCGAGACGATGCCTGACCTCATTTCATATTCGGGATCGTTGGGCGATAGTGCGGCTCGTTCGGCGTCCGTCATCCCGTTGTTTGCTAGGCCATGAGCTAGATGGCCAACGTTGTAGGCGAGTGCCGACTGAATGGAATAGATGATCTACGGCCCATGGTAACAAGGTTAGCGACGATTTAAGGCTGGAGGAGTGGTGATCGACATGGCAGGGAACCACGAACAGCGCCAACCCAAACAAGGTAATCGTCGGCCTGGAAGGACTTGATCCCCACTGCCCTCACTCGCGCGTAGGTTCTAAGGGCCGTCGCGCAGATTCCAACCGCGTAGAGCGTCCATAATTCAATGTTGAAGGACCTTGCGGCGGCGGCGGCGGCGGCAGCTGCGGCCTCGGCGTCCTCAGGTGCGGTCGACATCAGCGAGACCGATAAGCTTCCGGGGCATCTATTCGGTGACAATAATTCGAACAAACAAGGCGGAGAGATTGATCCACTGGAAGAGGAGCCAGGCCGGCTCCCAATTTGTATAATTTATATTGAGTCTCGGTCCCCGAGGAGGAGACACATGTCGATGAAAGCTTTTCTACACACTAGGGCTAGCTGCTGAAACCACCTCCCTGGGAGGTGCATAATCGGAACCACTTCCCCTGATACGATTATCAATTCCTACGAATTACGAAGTACCATGTAAGCCACAATTCGACAAGGGTATAATACTCACCTGCGTCTCTTTGACCATTATGCAGGCAAGGTACCATCATGAGGTGCCTGCCGGAAGTCTCCGATTCCAGGAAGAAAACCGACCCGGTGCAACATCGGCTCGACAGTATTCAGTACGAGGCGCGTGGCAGTTCATCGTTCCATTCGGTCACATAATAGGACCAAGGTGGACAAAAACCAAGATAAGGTGAATGGGGCATCGATGGTCGAGGTAACCGCTGTGGTGTACTTCATACTAGCAGATTTTTGGGAGGTAACATCAAGGAGTATCCATGTGGATAGATCGCAGCCATGCACAGCAGCTACAAAGTATGAAGGAGTGGAGTGTACTCCGTTTAATAGGTTCCTTGCTGCTTACTCTTGCACTATGGACGTCGTCGTTGCAACGAGGTGACTTTTAGTTTGGTTCCAAACTCCTTGATCCTGGACGAAGTATTAGCTACGCAAGGGTGTTTGCAGGGTCTAAAAAGGTGGCTTCACGCTAACATTGAAGATCCTGAAGAATTGTGGTTGAAGATCAAGGTCTCCCCTTTCGAGGCCCAGCGCTAATCTAATCCTGTCATAGTGTCATCTGAATCCCTGCTCTCTTGGGACAATTTGGAAGGTGGGAGAGCAGCGCCCAATACACCATAACGAAAAACTAAACTCTATCGGTTTAGCTTGAACGGGGCAGACCTGGCCCCTGAACTCGGCCGCAGGTTCCATAAAAAGGTAGATCCCGGTCGGGGCGCTGGCCTGGCTAAGACTCGTCATAGTGCTTATTTATGTTGTGGGGGTCACTGAGCAGCCGTTTCTTCAAATGCGGTGGTATGCAGAGTCTGCGTGAGCGATTTATCACGATGTTTATGGATTGTTACAAGGTGCATTATGCCTCCTTATCATTAGTGGGGATTACTAAGAGCCTGACAGGCGAATGAGAATCTATTAAGTGCCACGAATGGAGGTTCCATTGCCCCGAGATCATATTACGCTGTACACTACATGCCCACCCCAGCCATCTAACTCTCACCACTGCACAGTTGCGGCGAGGGTTTACTTGCAGAATTTAGGCAATGGGGCCGTAGAAGCTGAACTTGCGCTTAGGGTCGTACTTGTTCTTCAACTGCTTCAAGCGATTTTGGCGCCATGCCTCGCTACCATACCATTGCGACGGGTTCTCATTGCCGAAGGCGTAGTTGACGTATGTGTGCATGACGTCTTGGCCGCTAGCCTCGAAGAGAATTTGGCGAAGCTGCGAACCGAGGGCCGCCGCCTGCGCGTCAAGCTGTGACCCAGCTGGCTCGTAGGTAATTAGTGGGGCGGTGAGAAGGTTATCCTGTCGGAAAGCGAAGGCGGATGACTGGCTGTCGATAGCTTGTACGCCTTGCATGGAATAGCCCTCGAACATGAAGAGGGAGTTGGAGAAGGGGGTAGATCCGAATCCACCAATTGAGGATGCGAAGAGGTCGTAGGCTTGCCTCTGGGCAGAGACGTTATATGACTTGAGGTACAGGGGGAAGCGAGGATTGGCGAAGCCGGCCTTTTGGCAGGGTGCAGCATCGAGGGAGATGCCAGTCCACGTGGACACATCGAGGTAACTTCCACTGCTTGGTTCCGCAACGATCGGTCCAATATTGTGGAATGGTTGTGTGTAGATCGGGTCGACACTAGTTACTCCTTCCTGGATGACCCAGAACAGGATGATGGGCTAGAGAAGAATAGCATGTTAATGAACATTCTCGATCAAGATATGAGAGAGAGACGAAATTAGTTACTTACCTTCTCAGTGTCAGCATCAGGGTTGTTGAGCCAGTACGACCAGTTAATGACACCGACAGGTTGGGTGCCATTCTTGAGGAGGTGGTCGTTGGCGGCTTGGTACACCTCCTCCACCTTATCGCCACTGAAGATGAAAGTCTCAACAGCCCAGTTGGTATGCTCGATGTCGAAAATCTTAACAGTGGCAGATGTTACGATGCCAAAGTTATGGCCAGCGCCCTTGATGGCCCACCAGAGGTCAGAGTTCGCATTGATTGTCCTGAGGGTTCCATCTGCCAGAACGATGTTCACAGAAACGAACTGATCGGCGATGAGACCATGGTGTCCCTGAAGCCACCCGTGTCCACCCCCGAGTGCGGGCCCCATATAGCTAACACACTCACAGGTTCCAGTCACTAGAGGATGATTTTCAAACTTAGTGGGCCAGGCCTAACAATAATTCCCGGAAAAAAAAAAGTACCGGGAGAACTCACCTGCCTGTTTTCCATTGGCCCAGAGCGTGTCAATGAGCACCTTGGACTGAGTGCCACCGGCGATCTTTGCCGTTTTTCCATCGCTGGAAATCTGAACACCGCTCAATTGGTTCAGCCAGATTTCAATGCCATGGGTCATCTGGCCGAGAGTAGTGATGGCGCCGTGGGCGGTGTTGAACGCCAGGAACGGAACATTTCGGTTATTTGCGAAGATTACCTGCATAAGGTATTAATTAGCAAGGTATTTCGTCGGCGCGGGGGGAGGGCACACGGAGCTGTCGCATTGCATTTGACTGGGGAACTCACCGTCTCGGAAACATCCCTCTCCGTCCCCGGGACCACGACGATATCAACCTTGGGAGCTTCGAGTTGCGACCAGCGTTTTGATGCTAGGACGAACTCATCGGAGCCGGGGAAGTAGATATGAGCTGTCGATGAGAGCTTCCTCCCGAGCGCCTGAATGTCCTCGAGGCCTGGGCAGCTGCCTCTCAGCGCTGAGCGGACCTTGGGGTAGGCTAGGGCCGTTGCCGCCCAGGCAACCAAGGCAGTGGCAGTGGTTACTTTCATCTTGTCCCAATTGTTTGGTTACTCGCGACGTGGGAAAAACCGCTCCTTCAAAACCTCAGAAACCGGCGATTGACCATCAGGAAGCGTGCAGCTGGGGGCTGGCGGTCGATATTTATGAGAGATTAAAAACGTTCCGCTCTCCACGGAACTTTCCCTCCTCCCTCCTCGTATCACGCCAGGTAGTATTTCAGCATGTTAATTTTACGCGGGCCTGAGCTGCATTAATCCCAGTGTCCGGAGCCAGGGAGCCAGGGGGATTAGATGAGGAGGTATGCAGGATGCTAATAGAGTCCACTGTACTTCGTACTTTGGCCCCTAAGCTGGCAGTATGCGGGCCAATACCTTCCATCCCCAGAATGGCTGTGCCTCAATACTGGGGCCAAGCAGTGTCGAGGTTTACCGTCCACCCATGCCGCGTTTGGCGCTGTGAAATTTAGGTCGTTCGCACTATTTTACCACTAAGCCAGAGCACGGCTAGCTTCGCCCAGGCCTGGACAACGTTAGGTCTGGTGCGTACTGCGTTGGAGTTCACACTACCCTGCAGCAGCTAAGGGTGGTAGGTTACTCTTACCATTCCATCTCACAGGCCCAATTCCTGGGCGACCCACTAAGGTTACTTTTTGCTTCCCCGGCGAGCAGGGAATAGCACTAGCTCGGATGACGAGTACTTTGTAAATCAGTGGAGAAAATATCCGGGACTCGGATAACGACCCAAAACAAGATTCGAAATTGGATGGCTTCAGGGATCGTGGATTTCTTGGCCCCCCAACTTACTCCACCAGCTTTGCCCAGCCAGCGGATGCACCGGGAGAACCCAGACCGACCCAAAGCTTGCCTCTCAAAACCGAGAACAACCAGGCTAACATCCCTCAATAAACCACATCGTGCCACCCACCACCGCTCGCCTGCGCTCGACGCTGGCCAGGGCTGCCAGGCCCCGTATGCAGTATCCAGTCGGATTTAGTGGTGGCATTTGACCAGGACATAACAACCCTGACGGCATTGCTACCGCTCATCGTGGAATGCAACACTACAACCGACAGGGCATCGAGATATTAAAGGAACATCTTAGGTTATTACTCAATATACTATCCCAAAAGGGGAAGGGAACCACATTCCCCATACATTTGCCCACACCAAGTTCTGTGCCTCTTGCGAAGTAGCACTACCTTCTCCATTCTTCATTGCCTGGATCTTCTTCATTCCCTGCATTTTCTTCAATACCTAGATCTGTCCGATACCCTTCAGTGCAAGGAAGGTACCTTTCTGTTGGACAAATCGGAGGCAAAGATGCTTCAATTAGGATAGGAATAGCCGAGGCTTCCTTTTTATGTAGGTTTGAGGAAGGGACAAGCTGGAACAAACTGCATACTGCAAGTGCCCAGCCTGGCGAATGGGATCACCCTTCTAGAAAACATTTGGGAATGCAAAAGCAAGCAATCTCCAAATCATCCAGCACATCGGGTTGGTGCTAAGGACTTACAAAGTACTGAGAAGCGCTGGCCAGGTTATAAATTGGTGGGCAGGGCTATTACGATCTAATGCACAGCAGAGGGGTCTACATTGCAACGTTGTCCACATGGCTGTCCAGTCCAGCCCCCAATTTCGTGCCCATATACCTGGGTACCGAGGTACCTGATGCAGGTTAGGTCCAGAGCGTGACATGGGCCGGAAATTGGACACACACGTGTGGCGAGCCAGGCTACGCGACAGGAGGACAGCTGAGCACAAGGCAGTCGCTGGAAGAGAACAACAATTCGCACTGGCACCGACATGGCAAGTCCTGCAATCATAGTGGGGAATTGGCAGCAGAGAGTGGCAATTGCCACGGGAGGACTGTGAAGGCCCTAGAGTGCTCTTGAAAGATATTCCTGTCAAGGTGTTTGGTCCGAGCCTTCGCCTGGGGTCACCTGGTTCTACCAATCGCGCGATATACGAGTTTGGGTTTAACGTTGACCACATATAAACCACGGCGTTACCTATAGAGTTAGTCGGTCGTAATATTTTGATCTATTATATCTTATCCTGTATATCTTAAAGGGGCCGGCAATAACTCCCTTGAGCACCCCTATAGGAAGAATGCCGAGAACAGAAAAGGTCGCGGAATTTTGAGTGTGAGCGCCCTCCTCACATCTTCTTGCGTCTACTACAGTAGGTCGCCCTGCGATGAAATCGACCCGGAGATTACTGGTCTTTAGGAGAGAGTGTCGAGGGTTTACTGCAGCCTCGTTTTCACGGGTTATTTAGAAGAGTTGCGCTGCATTGGACTTTAGGTTATCTCCTTCACTAGGCCTGGCAGTGTTTGCGAAACTTCCAACATCCGGGAGAGGTCCTTACCAATTCGCCAAGCTTATGGTCCTGTCGATGACGCACATTAAGTGCCTCATGCCAACATTGAGACCACAGCGGGCATGGATAGCTTTTGAGATGGCGTGGAACTCCCTATGTCCTCATTAGGAATGTCTTCATTAGGATCCTCATCGCGGCCGTGACGAACAATGTACTCAACACCGAGCTGAATACTAAGCCAAGGTTGACATTGGCCAAGCTCGTAAGGTTAGAATAAAGGTTGGGTTCCCGACAATGAGACTACAGGGAATTGTAGAATAATAGAGATTTGGAGTAGAATAATAGAGATTTGGATAGAATCATTAATCCCACAGATCACATTAGTAAAATGGAACCAAGATTGATTGATCTCTTTATTTCCATAGTATTGTAAAGTCTAAAAATTCCCCTTCTTTTCTTCTCTCTTCCCTAGATAACGATAATAATTACATGATCAGGGGAATCTCCCCCTTAGTAATCGAGTTGCCTTCCCCCCGATACTACCCCCCCCCCCCCCCCCCTCCCCCCCACTCTTTTAGATATCCGAAAACAAATGATCCCGCCCCAGCATCATGGTTATCGATAGATAGTAGTAACAGGAATCGAAATGGTGAAGTCGTAAGAAGAATATCGTCCAGCTGTCTCCTCACAGTCCGAAAACAGCGAACAGGAAAGAGGTTCGAATGAAGTCGTAAGAAGATCGTCGAGTTGTCTCTTCACTGTCTGAAAACAGCGAACAGGAAAGAGGCCAGACCGATTTGCAGAGCAAGTATGAGAAGCATGGTCCTGATATAAACATCATCCCAGACCCTCATTCCTTGATTGTTGTCATCCTGAATCACTGTTGGCAATCGACTCTCCTCGTCTCCGATCATATCCTGACCTCCGACCAGGGCAAGCAGCGGAACACTCTGAAGGTCCTGTTGGATGTTTGAGGGTCCCGGCGTGGGAACCGGGGCACTGATTGTACTAGTAGTTGTCGCCAGTGGGAGTTGAGGACATTGTACGCGATTCATAATCGCCTGGGGGCCGCCGGTCAAAGGGACTTCACAAACCCAGTGTATCCCATCATCAGCTACCTCCTCGACCATCAGGGAACAGACCAGATATCGGAACCTTCGCTGTTTGTCATCAAGGTTTCCCCCCCAATTAACCCACAACTTTGGTAAAACACGGTGCCAATACCAGTGTTGCCAGATTTCGATTTGATCGAGGTCATCAATGTTGTCTGGAGTATTAGGGCAAGCCATCCTCTCGTCCCAAGACAATAGATGTCCAAACCCATTCACCACAATCTTACTGAACAGGCTCTGCGGTATTCCCCGACGCCCATAATGTAGGGTGAGAGCTTCAATATCAAGTCTCGATGGGGCTCTCGCTGGGCCATGAGAGGGAAAACATCGTTTAACTCGTTGCACCAGGGGTTGACTTCCTGGGTTGGCTGTGCTTTTATTGATAGCCAGAAGATCTAGCAAACCGGCGATATGATCGCCGCCCAGTTTGCGGTACACTGAAAGAGGCACACCCTCTATCGCACCCCGCAAGTAAATCTGAGCCTGCTGAACTGTTTTCCTTGTGGGTGCCGTTATGGCTAACGTCGGTGGGTAGGATTAAGTTTCCGGTCGCAGGTTGTAGAAGATAAGAAGAAGAGAAGGGGAATGAAGAAGAGAAGGGGAATGAAGAAGAGAAGGGGAATGAAGAAGAGAAGGGGAATGAAGAAGAGAGTGTTTGGGGAAAAGAAAAAAATTATTGGGAAGAATCTGTTGTGAAGAGTTATATGGTCTTTGCTCCAAAGGGGGTTGCTTCCTCAAATGATGGGGCCGGCTTGTGAAAAGCTTCAAATGATCTACATGCACTTCCCGTTCTCGCTGGGAGCCGTGCAAGTTCTGGATGATCCAATTCGCAGGTGGTGCCTTCCCTCTCAGTCAGGGAAGAAACTCCTCTACCAACCAGCCCAAGGGCCTAATAAAGTCCATGCCAACCATCTTTCATGTCTCGAATATCACGGCTTCTTGTCAAGGGTTGGCCAGACGCTAACATCCTGCTTGTTGACAGACTACACAGGAGCAACACTAAGTACTAACAGACATCACCATACCGTTTGTCCTAACTAAGGTCGTAAGCAATAAGGTCAGAAATACTTCCTTTGAGCGCATTGGACCAATATTTGAGGAAAAGGTCCCAAATCAATGAGTTTCTTCCTCTGCGTCCGGCTAACCGCTACGACCGATGCCAGGGTCGGTGTTCTCCCGGCGGATGTCATACTCGAGATCACCGCACTCGTGGATCCCCTCGGCAAGAGTCGTGGAGGCATGTCATGGAACTATATTAGCAAACTTTGAGTCTATTTAAGCTGTGTTCGGTAACCATGGCCTACATAACAGCGTCATAATCATCGTGTGAAAGACGCAACATGCATCTCAATATTCAAACCAGCCTAGCTAGCTATGGAGTAGTTTCGTGATAACCGCTGTTACCCAATCACATATCCGCCTAGGCTATGATGGACTTCCAGTCCGAGTCCTGCTCGAGGGTGTCCATGTCATCCTTTTTGAGAATGACCACAACCTCCACCATTTCTTCAGACTCTGCGCCCTGCATACTTTTCCTCCTTGGCATGACAATGCACACTCCGTCGGCTGGCGACTCTGGGATTCGGACAAAATCCGATA